TGAATTATTGCATGTCTAAAAAACTGATGTAAAAATTATCTGAACAAAGATAAATAAATAAAACCATGTCAATATGTTCCTCAACATTTTAGTGTACTTGTTTACCAAGGAAACAACCAGAATGAGATCATATCTTCGTATGAAACAAAGAAAAATCAAGGTAAATATCTTGTAAGCAGTGTTATTTAGTTTTGTGAACTTTTACAAAAAGATTTACGGATTGTGTGTTTAGGATACAAAGAATGTCAATGTAATTTCCACCACACAATGTTATTAAAACACAATGTATAATTCGATATGTGATGGAAATGTTCAAAAATGCGAATGTAACAAAGTCTCCCTCCAGGACGTCAGAAATGCACCTGTTGCTAAATGTGAGTCCAGCTCTGGCCACGCGGCGGCGAATCCCGCCGACAGCTCTCCGGTGACGGGAAATACAACAGCGTCCTGCGGGAGAAGGTGGTAGGAACAGTCAGCATCTCGCCGCGGACTCTTCAGAAAACTAACATTTCGCGTTCTTGTTTTCATATCGGCTGCAAAGACACTGACTGCTGGACAGATAAAGGGTGAGTGACCTTGAGTATTTTGAGAGCCTGTATTTGCTCATATGATGCTTGAGGAAATGTGTTTTGATATCAGCTTGTCCCAGCAAAAGTTGATCTGAGGGGTGCGAGAAACAATATCCATTTGCTTGCAATATGATTCGGTGAATTCATGCATGTCGATGTGTTCAAATTTGGACTAAGACTAACTGTTGTGGACGGACGCGGTCACTGAATACACACACAATCACGTGCAAAGGATCTCAATACAAAATTAATAATAGCCTTAATAAAGTTGTTTTGTTAGGCAGATATGGTTCGTATTCTTATTCTAGCTTTAATGCTACATTGTGCGGTGCACACTGTTGATGTCTAGCGCGGCTGTGCTGCTAACGTCAGGCTTGAAGGATGAATAAAGCACGGTGATCTTGAATTACAATTCATGTTGCAAGGTCTGCCTTTTTCAATGAATTGATTGAACCGGTTCTTCGCGTTGTCATTAAGAAAGGCAAATGACTTTAATAACAAACTAGAAGAAATGTTGCTAATAAAACGAATTGGAATAAAGTTTAGCACTGTGTAGCGGTTTTATCAACACACTAAAACTACGACATACTGCTTTATTGCAACTCTTAGCAATAAACGTGTAAAATAGCGATGCTTGGATGCTAGAGGTTTATGAACCGAATAATTGAATCGAACTGTGTTCAAAACATACAAATGAGTTGCACTAATTTTCGCGGGCATTTCAACGAACATTCAGACTGGGATGAGGAGGCCGTGCAAGCTCATAGAAAAAGCGGGCTGATGAAGGAGGAATTTGTATTTTTTTAATAATGTCCTAACACCGTACTAAACAAATAGCTGGTTAATTAAAACTTAATTCAAAGCTGGTCTCTTCACACAGACAGAGGTAACGTATGTGACTTAACTCATTCTAATGGTTTGATAGGAGTCTGTCTCTCCACTAGCCCTGTTGAAAAAAACAGCATATGCTGGTTAGGTATGTTTTGACACTGGGATGCTGCTTTAAGCTGGTCCTTTTGCTGGTTTATGCTGGTCCTTTGCCAGCACATGACCAGCATAAACCAGCAAAAGGACCAGCATAAACCAGCAAAGGACCAGCTTAAACCAGCAAAGGACCAGCATAAACCAACAAAGGCCCAGCATAAACCAGCAAAGGCCCAGCTTAAACCAGCAAAGGACCAGCATAAACCAACAAAGGCCCAGCATAAACCAGCAAAGGCCCAGCTTAAACCAGCAAAGGACCAGCTTAAACCAGCAAAGGACCAGCATAAACCAGCAAAAGGACTAGCTTAAACCAGTATCCCAGCGTCAAAACATACCTAACCAGCATATGCTGGTTTTTTCAACATGCAGTTGCTCCCACAAGCCTTATATGTGTCATTCTTGAGAAGTGGGACAAAACAGGGTGCAAAATTGAAAAAATAAAACCTTGTACTCAGACAAATGAAACAAAATGTGCTTTTTTACCTTGGACTGTGTAATATAATTTCAACTTGACCTTTAACAGCATTCAAGATGCTTTTAAGATTTCAAAACACATTCTCATGTTAGCAGACAGATTACACTTTCATATGTGACCAACAATTCCACAACAAATATAAAATATAATGAAATATTATCAAAATATTCAACTGACGGAGGTGACAGAACTGACGGAGTTGACACATCTGACGGAGGTGACGAAAACCTGAATTTGTAGTAATTTTAACTATCAAACACATTGAATCAGTAAATTATACCCTTGCTGGACCTGTTTTGTCCCACGTCTCAAGAATGACATTGTTTAATATAATGTGTATAAATAAAATGAAGTTTTTTTTTTAATGACAGGTTTACTAAACATATTTCGTTGGAAGTAGCTATCGCTTGGCTGTTGTCGTTAATTTTTCAACATAAAATGTTGCTATGGCTATCAGCATTTCACATTGTTAGCCAACAATCGACTCAATATTACATTGTTCACACACAGAACGATAAATAAGCTAGTTACGTAGCTACTCCTGAAATATCTGGACATGAAATATAATTTTTAATAGTAATAGAATTGAAATCGAATTTAATTATTTTACAAATGTACCTTTTATTCTTAATAAATAATCCACTGCAAAGTGCAAAAAAATCAAGCCAATATATTAAAGTTGAACAATATTACTGAGGTAATTTTCACATTAGATGGGGAAATTTTGTGAGTTTGCACTTAATTGGTTTGGGAAAAAATAAGCACGTGTATTAAACGAGAGATTAAGTTCGCAGTGTGATACGGGATACATAAACGTGTCGGACTAATATACACCCTTGCCATGGACAGTGGTGAATTTTATGAAATACCTGACCGCTGGAAGTAAAAAAAGTTCTGAATACACAGGTATACTGTTAGCGAACATCCCGATGGCGCCCCCAAACTGCTCTTTCCTCTCAATTAACAAACACAGCAAAAATGACAGTGGTGAGAAAACAGCAGTTAAGCAAGCATCTGATTATACTGACGTGTGTATGTTTGGATCACTATACAATTCGACACTATCACTTTATTCAGTAGATAGCTTTAAAGCAAGCAGCTTTATAGTAAAACACATGAAGAAAAGTGTCATTGTCGCTTTCAATTAGAATTACAACCTCAAGATCTACTATAAAGCAGCACTCCAGTGCATTCATGTTTTTTCTTGTGTTTGACCCTGACGGACTGAACATAAGAAATGAACTAAAGATTTCCTTGTTAAAGACAGTGGAGCCAAAGAGCACACTGACCAACACATAATTACTACAGACTAATGGTAGTTCAAAGGTGTTTACCAGCCAGAGCAAACTTTTCCAGAAAGTTCACTTGGGAAGCTGTTTCAAAGTCCAAAAATGAACTCCAAACGAACTTTGTTTCAGTCAGATTTTGTACAATATGTTGTCGATCTTTAATTTAGCTTAAACTATATCGGTGCCTTTGCAGTACTCTCTCTCTGGACTGATACTATTGGACACTACTGTGATACTGTGATGTTTCATTTCAATTCTCTATACACTGCTTTAGTTCTCTACAATTGACCAAACTCTGTGTGTGCAGAATGAGAGGAATCACTCAGGACAGAATGTGCATGTTTGCTTAAAATGCAGTATTTTCCCATATCTGTTCCCATACCAAAGCAGGAACTTGTCTGTTGAGCCAGTGTTGTGTGGATGTGTGTGCAGGAATGAAAAAAAGGCCATTGCAAGGAATGTGTGTGAGTATCTGTACTGCATGTGCAGTAGGCCTATATGAGTTGCTGACAGCTTCCAGCATTGTTCCTGTCATCCATTCCTGTACAGCAGCTGCAGTACTGCAGGCCATAAATAATGCAACAGCTCTGCTAGCTGTTCATGCTGATTCCTTTATGAGCATATTTAGCAAATTATAACGTTCTCCTTTTTGGTGTAGTTCCTGTGTAGTTCAGCACATGTCTTCCTGACACTTTTCTGCATAATGAGATAATGTAAATGCAAACATTGCTCGCATGCCAGCGTGTGACCCACTTTGCAACAAAAAATGTGTAAAAGGGTAAAAAAAATCAACATGTGCCTGTTCATTTTGCACAGAAATAAGAAATTATATTTTGAAAAAAAATAACATGAAGCTTATTAGCATTATCCTAATTCAACACATTACTCTACTGTGAGCCAGTTATAGCCAGTTATTATAATGTTTTTACATTACATTACAGTGTAGTGCATGTTGTATTTAGTTAATGCTTGTGTATTTTTATTTGTAAAAAAAAAAATATATCACAATTTTACTGTAAATTTTTAGGGATGCACCAAAATGAAAATTCTTGGCTGAAGCCAAACAAATTGAAACACTGGGCCGAAGGCCGAATACCGAAAACGTTTTTTGCCAATTTTTTCACCATTGAATAAATTAAATAGTCAAAATGTGCTTTTTAGTGTTTTGTCTTGCTATTTTTTAACATTCTAGCAGACATTATACAGACAAAGCACAGTTTAACTTAAAATGAATAAGTTCGTAAAATAATATGTTTTGGCCATTTTTGAGACCCCCTTCTTCAATCAGGCATGTATTTTCTTACTGTACAAATAAATGCAGCCTTGCTGAGCAGAAGAGACTTCTTTTAAAACATTAGAATATATTACAGATCCCAATTTGAACACTATGTGTGAATGTTATAATAAATGTATTAATAGAGCTGTTGTAATTATTATTATATTTGATCACGTCACGTCATTGTTCGTTACAATTTATTCGGTCTTTTTGCTTATTCAACATACAATTTCGGTTGACGAACATTCGGTGCATCCCTATACATTTTCATACAATTTCTTATTTCTGCTTTTGATTTTGAGTGAAAAGTGATCTGGACATGCTTGCATTAAATGTACCCATTACATTTTATGCCCAATTAATTCTCAAGGATGGTTACATATCAGGTTCTCTGTTAGGGCCCTATGATTTCTGTGATGTGTAAAACGTGAATGGAAGTGCAGGACCCACAGGCATAAAAAATGGAATTTGGAAAACATTGAATGAGTAATTTGAAAGTAGTGCTGAACACTTATAAATGAATAAAAAGACTAAAAACACATAAAAAGACTAGGCTAAATGTAAGATCTGTATCTTTTGCGTGCCTCTGAATAAATAGCACGGTTTCGTCAACTACACACACTCAAGCACATATGGCATTCTTGATGTTTTCAGCATCTGCCATCTCACTATATGAGGATATGAACATATAAACTTCATCTCCAGAGCTGCTCTGAGATTTCACTTCAACAGCATCTCACCATTTCATTTGATAAAAACGTTTGTCATATCATATACACACACAAACTCAACTATTGTAGAGTCGAATGTAAATCTCAAAGCAATAATAAAAATAATAATGCAGTTATTAACCTAAGAGTAATCCTGTACAGCACTTTGTTTGCCAAAAAATGAAAGGAATTTTACAAATTCATTTGATGACTCTTTGAAAGTTTAATTAAATTGTTAAAGTTTTATGCATTTATTTGATTACCACCATTTTAGACAAAGAATTTCTATCAAATCATAAATCACAGAATCCAGAAAAATGAAAACAAACAACAGAGAATTTATGACAAATCAAACAAATTTCATAGGGCCCTTATTAGTGTTAAAATTCTAGTAAATTGTTAAATTGTTAAAGTTTTCCAAATTCAACTGATTAAACACCCTTTTTGATTGTAAAAAAAAAAAAAGTAATAGTAATTAGGGATGCACCGATACCACTTTTTCCAGTACTCGCCCGATACCGATACTTTTATTTTTGGTACTTGTCGATACCGAGTACCGATACCAATATTTTTATTGCATTTGTAAATTTTTTTAAATATTGGGTACAGAAACCAAACGAGTATGTATAAAGTTAGTTGGTTAACTTCATTTATCAAATAAATGCAGTCAAACCAAAATTTATTCAGACACCTTCAACATTTCTCACATTATCACAGTTTATTCGCTATAG